CTCACAAAGAATCAGCAAAAACCAGATAATTCATTGTTAGGTAATATCCAAAGCTTTCAGCTGAGTAACTGCTCTGGTTAAAGGTAATACCTAATATGTTCAATGATGTACTCCTGATAGATCTGATGATGACAGTTTTGTGACCATAGAAATATTTTATTTCACTGCATTTTTCAGATGTCTTATGGCCTTGTCATCTTCTATCAAAGATGAAATTGAGTCTGAATTTTCCTGCTGCTAGACGGATGTTTTTGGTTTTTTTAGGTAAAAATGTTGGGAGATTCTTTTTGACACTGGCCAGCAGAAAACTCCTGCAGGTTAAACTGGGCTTACTGGACACTTTAGTGTCTGGATTATTATTAACTGGACCAGTCATATTGTAGATGGATAGCTAGAAACTTAATAGCATAAAAACAATTAAGGCTACAAACAATCCATGATACAGTATTACTTAAAACCAGCAGGTCCACTCGTGACACACTCTGCTTTTGTGAATAAGTAAATGTCTAGTCTTTGTGTGAAATTTTCTATAGAAACATTAAAATGATAGATTGAATATAGAAACAAATTCATTCCAAGAGCTGTGTACAGAAAACTATATCCTTTTTTCAAGCCAGAGCTCTTCTTCAACACACCCGCATGATAAATACAGTGCTGGATGTGAGACGTTTTCTAACCTGCTAGGTAGGCCTTGTCCTACGTAATTGAAGTAGTGAGTTTGTTGTTGAGAAATGTAGGACACAACACCCGTCCGGTGACAAGATGTGAGAGCAGAACTTCAGAGAAAGAGCTCTTCAAAGTGCTCTTATCTAGTCATGTTGTGCGGTGAATGGAAAATATAGTTGCAACACATCTTACCATATGTCCTTGTCATTCAGTGGGATGAAAGAAACCAACAACCTCTTGGGAGAATGCTGTAGTGAATTGAGTGTACAGTGGTTTCGGAGAGTGCATGAGGCATTGATTCGGTGTGAAGGCCAAATATTAGTCAGCTTTCACTCAACTGTCGAACCAGAGAGTGGTGCTGAGAGTTCACACTGTGTCTCGGGGGCCAGCGCACCTATCCTGCGGGCTTTTTCATTTGCCCTTGGTGTGCAGGCTTGTATCTCAGAACAGTGTTAGGTCATAGCATGATGGGCCCTCCAGGTGGTTTGGAGGCCCGAAATAGGTGTTAAATGAGCTTGACTCTCTTATCTCCTGTGGACTGGTAGCCTGACGGGGGTCTCTCCCTATCCTTTCCAGAAAGCATAGAAAGAGTCCTAAGCCTCCTGTTCCCTCCTGCTTTTTTCTCATTATACTGTATATATTTGGACTTTGAACTGTTGGTTGAACAAAACATTTGAAGATGCCAAAGATGTCGGACTTTTATCAATATTTTCTTACACTTTATAGACAAAATGGTTAACCGATTGATAAAAAAAATTATCTGCAGGTTAATCGATAATAAAAGTAAGTTATTTGCATCCCTAAGACCTTGCCCTATTCAGGCTATTAGTTTGGTTGGAAATTGTATAAACAATGTCTTTGTTAACTGAGCATGTATAACTTTTGCCCAATGATATCTCAGAAGCAACATTATAGAGTAAAGTAAGGTTTCATATTGATCTATGTTATCATTATTGGATATATATTATCTGTTTGTAAATATGTAAATATGAAGCCAGCAGCCGTTAGCTTAGCATAGCACAGAGACTAAAACAGAGGGTAACAGCTAGCCTCTGTCCAGAGATCCGAACCTCTAAAGCTCACTAATGAAAGCGTAAAATCTATTTCATGACTGAGAGCAGCTGCCCAGGGAACAAGCAGACTCAAGAAAATAGATTGGCATATTACCCACCCCCCCACCCTACCCGCAACCACAACTTTTGTTGTTTCACATTTAGATGGCGTAAACAAAGGAGCTATAACGTTTCCCCAATGTTTCCAGAACTTCCAAAATGTCTAAGTATTAATTTATCATGGAGCTTCCAGCCATGTGGTTTTCCTCTACAGGTGAAGTTTTCTCAGTTGTTTGCTCACATGACCGAAGCTCTATACTTGGGTCACCTGAGAATGACAACCTAGCACACATTCCTTCCCTTGAGGAATACTACAAGATGTAGTTGAACACTTCAGAAAAAGCTTGATGTTATGGACGTTAAGCTTAAGACTTTTGAACTATTGTATCCAAGACCAAGAAGGAACTTAATTGATCAAAAATGTCTGTTTTTTTGAGATATCACTAAATATTTATTTATTCATAAAGAAATTGTTGCTAGGCATTTAGCAGCTTCTGAACAGGGGGGTAAACATGCTATGCTGAAATAAAATCTCAGTGTGTCTCTGTGTGAACAGTTCAGCAGGGTCTGGTCTACAGAGTCTGCAATGAAGATGGTCAATGGGCGCAAAAGAATACCACGGAATGTGAGGATGACCCTGGTGAGGTGTGTGTATACAGTACAGTTTGTTTTTGTGCATGGTTGTGTATAAATGGGGGTGTGTGGGTGGGTGTTGGGGGGCATGTTTAAAGTTGGCAGATGCATGGAAGAAAATGACTCTGTTTCTCCTGTTGGCTCTACAGCAGCAGTATGGCCGCATCCTCAGTCAGTTACGGATCATGTACACAGTGGGCTACTCGCTCTCCCTCGGGGCTCTTCTACTAGCGCTGGGAATCCTCATCACCTTCAGGTACAACATGTACAGGGAGTAAAGACGAGAGGAAGGAGTGAGGACAAGGAGGAAGAAAAAGGAAAGCAATGAATCAATGAAGGGGGTGAAGAACAACGAGATGAAGGAAAGAAGACAGGAAGAAATAAAAGAGAATGAAAGGGAAGACGGGGGAAACAAATAACAGAACAAAATAAGGGTAACAATGAAGCAATTAATGACAGTGGTGAACATGATATAAGGAAGGAAGGTGAAAAATGGAGAAAGAAAGATTGAGGGAAGGAATAGAGAAAGGAAAGCAAGAATAAAGAAAGGAGGAAAGAAGAAAGGAAGGTAGAATAAAAAGTAAGGAAAGAAAATGAAGAAGGAAAAATTTAAAGACAAAAATGGAAAGCTAAATATATAGGATGCAAGGGATGCAAAGAAGGATAGGAAAAATCGTTTTTGTCATGTTCCTGCATTCAGAGTAGTGAATACAACATATAAACGTCAACACACTGTCAACTCTGCACCAGGAAGCTCCACTGTATGAGGAACAACATCCACATGAACCTGTTTGCCTCCTTCATCCTGAGAGCCGTGTCCATACTGGTTAAAGACGCCCTGCTGACCCTCACACTGGACCCTGGAAGCAGCAGTGACAGCCGGAAACAAGCCTGGGTCAACATACCGGTCAGAGCAAACACACCACACCAACCTCATCTGCTATGAATTGTTTTCATGTGCAACTATATAGTGTGAGAGAAATACCTGCGTTACGTCCCAAGGTCTAGAGGTATCCAGGATGTAACATAAATGTGTGGCTTCCCACTCTTCCCATTCCCTAGCAATGCCAGAACACAGTAAATATAATTTAGCAGTTTTATTTGCTTCAGAGATGAGCAGTGCCCAAAACAACAACCAAAACACTCTAAGAAATCCTCAAACTCTCCTATCCCAAAAACCAAAAAGTAAAGTAGATTTCTAATTCCAACAACAGGAGAAAAAGGGTGCAAACAAAAAGGGCTTCTCACTCTTACTAAAATGCTAGTAGTTGATACCATAAGCTACAAGAAAGAAAATTGCTATAGCAAACAAAATGGCTAAAGCCAACAAAACAAGGTTACCATAAGACAATAATCAGAATTATTAAGGTAAGCTATTCAGAGTTAATGTGTTCACTACACAGATTCACTAACAAAGTCTAATATGCTCACAACAGTTATCTACTTACAATGAACACAGACATAACACACAGTACACAGGCTCAAGTTGGGAATGTCAGAGAGAGAGAGAAGAGAGTTCCTATCAGTGGGATTTAAGATGGTGCTGTCATCCAGTTGACCAATCAGGAGGCAGCAATCAGCTCTGCAGGACCAACCCAGCGTGCCCACCTGTTCTTCATTACCTGTATACACACACTCTAGGGGAGGAGACAGCTGAAAGTGCAGGGTGAGATAAACAAACAACAAAATATGACCCCAGGGTCATAACACCTGTTTAAAGGAAATGTTCACTGCAAGCAATTTTCATTAGATGTTACCGTGTGGTTAAGTTACGGTTAAAGTTCGCCAACTACATCCACTTGATTAAAGTTAGGATAAGAGCATATCGTGTTAAAACAAAAATATCAAAGTGACCACTTGATCCACAAACTCGTAGCACTACCTCAACTTATTTCACTGCAGTATATGAACATACATAATAGTGAGACACAGGATAGTGCCACATACACATTCAGAGATTACTCCATATTTCTTGAATATCTGTATCATGTATCTTTTTGGGTGTCCCAGTGATTCAATGTTGTTTTTGCGTTCTACAGACACATCACACATGTAACTTAATAAGGTACTGATTTGGTATTGATTGGGTGTGTCTAGACACATCAAATATAATAAGAGGAGATATTCTCCCAAATATTATTTGTCGAGCACCTCAACCAGTAATTCATGTTTTGACCAAGTGTCTATTCCTGGAAAATAAAGCTCTCAGTTCATAAAGAAGGCAACACAAAGTCACTTCAGACTTGTGAAACATCATGTCTGGTAGGAAGAGAAAATCTAGAAATGCCCACACATACAGATTTCCCCTTTCTTGCTTAGCTGTTCCGTATTTGCATTGGAGGAATGTACAGTATATGTCATATAAATAGCATTGTGTTAGCATTAATCCACATTAAGTTTAAGCAATAAGCAATTATAAATGTACCATAAATGTGATTTGTTGCTTTTGTACTGAGACGCAAGAGACATTGGAAATTAATTAATGTTGAAATGTTGTAACCTTATTTGTTGTAAAGGATAGCGATCAAAGAGAAAAATATATTTGGATACCAGAATAAAATTGTTTATGTGCAGAGCTACAGTCCTTGTCTTATGAAGTGCTGTTGTAAGCCAAGGTTTGAACATTGTATTGTGTTGCAGTCTGACTCAGAGTTGATTCAACTGAGCTGAAGCAGAGTATTTGTCAGCCGTGGAGCTTTGATTTAAAGCAACATTTTGTACTTTAAGAGAACATGTCACCTTGGCTTATTGTATCCTCACCCCCCATCCTGTGTCATGTGTCAGGCTGTGACATGGTGCCGTGGTGCCATGGTGATGATGCAGTACAGTGTGATGGCCAACAACTATTGGCTGTTGGTGGAGGGCATCTACCTGCACAGCCTGCTAGTCATCACCGTGTTCAGCGAGAGGAAGTACTTTTACATTTACCTGGCCATTGGCTGGGGTAAGAACCACTCTTACACAGGATCTGACAATCACATAGTAATGCTGCTGGTTATTACACAAATACAAACATTTGTATTTCTGTTCTTTTGTGACAGACAAATATTGGTCATTTAGTTGAGAAGAGTAAACAGCATTCTGACAGGCTCTGTCATGTAGCCGGTAACAGGAACCATAGAGTATATGATGGATGACGTGTCTCCACTTCCTCCAATTGTACAAAATTTAAGCCAAAATATCTTGGATAGTCTGAGTCAACTGAATCTGCATGGTACTAATAGAGCCAAGGTAACGAGGTCCCGCCCATACAGCCGGCTGAGTCAATCGCGAGCGGGCTCAGCTTTCCGTCATAACTCATTAAAACTAAACTAAGGAGATAAATTAACATTTGAACTTACAACCCCAATTCCAATGAAGTTGGGACATTGTGTAAAACGTAAATAAAACCTTCATTTTCAAATCCTATATTCAATTTAATACACAACAAAGACAAGTATTTAATGTTCAAACTGATAAACTTTATTGTTTTTTGCAAAATTCATTCACTTTGAAATTGATGCCTGCAACATGTTCCAAAAAAGCTGGGACAGGGGCAACAAAAGACTGGGAAAGTTGAGGGATGCTAAAAAACACCTGTTTGGAACATTCCACAGGTGAACAGGTTAATTGGAAACAGGTGAGTGTCATGATTGGGTATGAAAGGAGGATCCCCAAAGGCGAGGTGAGGTTCACTACTTTGTGAACAGCTGCGCAAATAGCCCAACAGTTTAAGAACAATGTTTCTCAATGTACAATTACAAGGAATTTAGGGATTTCATCATCCACGGTTCATAATATCATCAAAAGATTCAGAGAATCTGGAGAAATCTCTGCATGTAAGCGACAAGGCCGAAAACCAGCATAGAATGCCTGTGACCTTTGATCCCTCAGCCGGCACTGCATTAAAAACCGACATCAGTGTGCAAAGGATATTACCACATGGGCTCAGGAACACTTCAGAAAACCACTGCCAGTTAACACAGTTTGTCGCTACAAACAAGTGCAAGTTAAAACTCTACCATGCAAAGCGAAAGCCATATATCAGCAACACCCAGAAACACCACCGGCTTCTCTGGGCCCAAGCTCATTTGAGATGGACCGAGGCAAAGTGGAAAAGTGTGCTGTGGTCTGATGAGTTCACATTTCAAATTGTTTTTGGAAATTATGGACGTCGTGTCCTCCGGGCCAAAGAGGCAAAGGACCATCCGGATTGTTATCAGCCCAAAGTTCAAAAGCCAGCATCTGTGATGGTAGGGGGTGTGTTAGTGCCCATGGCATGGGTAACTTGCACATCTGTGAAGGCACCATTAATGCTGAAAGGTACATACAGGTTTTGGAGCAACATACGCTGCCATCCAAGCAACGTCTTTTTCAGGGACGTCTCTGTTTATTTCAGCAAGACAATGCCAAGCCACATTCTGCACGTGGTACAACAGCGTGGCTTGTAGTAAGAGTGCGGGTACTAGACTGGCCTGCCTGCAGTCCAGACCTGTCTCCCATTGAAAATACGAGGCGCATTATGAAGCGCAAAATACGACAACAAAGATCCCGGACTGTTGAGCAACTGAAGTTGTACATCAAGCAAGAATGGGAAAGAATTCCACCTACAAAGCTTCACCAATTAGTGTCCTCAGTTCCCAAACGCTTGAGTGTTAAAAGGAAAGGTGACAGTGGTAAACATGCCCCTGTCACAGCTTTTTTGGAACGTATTGCAGGCATCAAATTCAAAGTGATTTATCAGTTTGAACATTAAATATCTTGTCTTTGTGGTGTATTCAATTGGGGTTGTACATCAGCATGACAAGAATGACCTAATATGACAGACCATCTCTAGAGATATTTTTGCTTCACTTTTGGGGAGCTGTCATGTCGTCCATCTTAGTGGGTACATCTCAAGTCTCATATTTGATATTTCGTCGACTCTCACTTGAAGTGGAAGTCATTCTGGTCTGCTATCAAAGCTTTTTTTCAGCTAATGAAGTGAGGAGCAAGCAGAAAACCTCGCTATGAGCGTGGATACATGAGAGCAGTCTTCACAGAAGCCTTTTACTGGCAGACACGTCCCCTTTTGGATATAAGTTATTGATTGGACGCTACAGCTGATCAGACTGATCTGATACATCACAACATTATTGGAGTTTCATACGTAACAAATTTTACTCAAGTGTATAACTCAAGTTTTAATATTTTTATTTTTCTGATCTGTGTCATTGTAGGTCGGAAGAATAAATGGACCACAAACAACTTTCTTCTTTAATTAGGAAGATTTTTCTTTTTGTGATCTGTTTTTCCCCCCATTAACTTCTATCATGTATACAATTAAAGTCAGAGAGTCACAGAGTCTGTCTGTCAGCTAGAAACACTTTTTACATCATTTATTGTCATTTCTATTTAGTCACATGTGAGGCAGATAGTTCCTGACTGTTGGGTTTGAAATGAGCACAAACATCGTTTAAATTTTCTCTGAAACATTTAGCCTAATTAATCATTTCCAATGTTAAAAAGACACCAAACTAATATTCTGGGTTACTCAATAATTCATTCACTATCAGAATATCAATAAATACAGATGCCAATAATGAATAAATATAAATGCATTCTGACAGTAGAAATGATCCTGTGCCTCTGAGCAGGACACAATATAAATACAGAATGCAGGTTGTTCTTCTTGTGAAGCTGTTTGTTAAACTGGTAACATCTACTTAGAGAAAACATGCTGCTCTGCAGTAACTGTGTGCCTTTATTAGTACTAGCACAGTGCACATGTGAGCAGACACAAGGAAAAGACGCAAGTGAATGAAATGTGAATGCAATTAAGAGACTTAGGGTGTACCCTAAACAGGAACACAGTGATCAGCAACAGTCAGGTACAGGAATATTTAGCGGGTATGTAAACAGACCAATGAGCAAATACAGAGCAGCTGTGTGGACAGATAACAGTTCTCAGTATGAGTCAGGTAATTAATGAAGTGATAAAAATCTCTGAGAGCATCTAGTGGACAGGTGTGGTATAGCAGGCTCTGAAATGTCAACACAAGTGAGTTCAACATTTAGGGGCTATTGTGTATAGAGGGACAATCAGAATAATGTATTTGTGAGTATCAAAATTGATGTAGCAGAACCTTGTCAAAACCCGGTGCCCACATTACCCAAAATGCAACTTGACAGCCAACGATTTGGTCAGAGATTTGGTTCTGTAATGCTAGTAGCAGCTAATGTAGCCTCAAGCAGAGATGATAAAATCAGTTGAGTTCCCCTTTAATATGAAGACTGTATCATAGATATGACTGAACATCTAAATCATAGTGCCACTGATGTAAATACTTGTTAATCTACTTACAACTTATTTTAATAATATATTATTTCTAAATGAAAGAATCCATAGTACACATAAACATGTTCATAAACCCAGAGCAGCTTTTGCTAAACACTTCAAACCTGTTTTCTTGAGATCACAACTTCATTTTCTCACTGTCTTTAAATAAATAATGACTTTGCGATTAAATTTTCACTTGCTATTGTGAGAAAACAATTTCATTTTGTAGTTATCAATGGATTTCATTGGAAACATTGTTTTCCAAGATTAAGAAAATTCTCACTGAGCGGAGATGATAAATCATGGTCTTGTCACAATATTAACTGGATTGTTCAATTGACGTTAATGAATCATTGTAGCCTAACAGACAGATAATGTCCAAAGAAGAGACCAGATTTGTGAACCGATTCGATTTTACTTTAATCATGTTCAGACACGGGCAGGCGCTTTCATGTTTAGAGACCTTTCAAGTAACAGAAAAATAGAAATATTTGTCTTGAGATAATGAGATTTTGAGCTCATGATCATAAGAAAACAGTGTTTAATAAATTGATTTCATCATGATAACAAGGTTAAAGATTTAACATGAGCAAACTGTACACATTAATTGTACTAAAAATGAAGATTGCTATAACAACCTCACTACCTACTAGTAAAATGAAGACAGTTTCAACATTTTTACAAAGTATTACTTTAACTTTCACATTTTACCTCTGTCATTCTCAGGTGCGCCACTCATATTCGTTCTGCCGTGGATCACAGTGAAGTATCTGTATGAGAATGAGGAGTAAGTTGCTTGTCATGATATGGCCACATTAAGTGAATTCCAGTTTAGATGCAACAGCTTTTATCTGTGTCCTGTGAGAAGTCATCTATAGTGAGGATGATTCAAATATGTGTTGACTCTTAAAAAAAGATCACAATGATAACAGCAATAAGTTACAATCTAAAATTTGTTTTGTGTGTAGGTGCTGGGAGAGGAATATTAACATGGGATATTGGTGGATCATCCGTTCTCCTATACTATTTGCATATCTGGTAAGTCTATCTCTATCTGCCTGTTTGTCTCTAAACCTCATATTCTCTGTGTGGCAGTTTACCGTGGCGCGCGCACACACACACACACACACGCGCACACACACACACACACACACACACACAGCAGCTGTCATGAACTTTTTGTTGGCTTCTGAAGGGGGGCATGACAGAAGGAAGTTTGAGAACCACTGGTATAGACTGACCTTCTCTCAGCACTGTGACTGACCTCTAGCATTCAACTGTGACTATATCAGGGACACTTAAGGCCAGCTTCTGCACCGGTTGCATATGTCTACTAGCTGAGACCAGATAAACAAAAGTACAGAGCTGACCTTTGAGGAAGCTATAATACCTAATTGGCTGCGCTATACCATCCACTTTTCTTTAACCACCTCTTTGGAGTAGAAACTGTTCCACAAATAATTTATAGAAGAGGTCTTTTGAATAAACTGTGTGAACTTACTGTCCAGTTAGTGACCTAGCCAAGATAAGGAGCTAACAAGTGTGCTAACGGCCTGTTCAAGCTTGTAAATTCTGTGAGTTTTATTTTCCCTCTATAATATCTTAATAATCTTTAATATATCTGTAGCAGACCTAAATTTTAGTTATGCAATTTAAGAAATTTATGAGAATTGATACCCAATTATGAATTTTAATATTCATAAAATCTAAATTTTCCTCGTTTCAGGGCACCACCGGAGTTGTTATAATCCTAGAGTCTCCGGACCTCTAGGTAGTTTTGAATAATTATACAATTATTACTAGTGATCAGTTAGTTAATAATTGCTCAATTATCTTAAATCAATCAGTCAGTCTCATATCTAAAGGGTCAATTCTCTTGGCAGGAATTAGAAATAGGCAACACACACAGCTCTTGATTATATTACAGTGAATTTCTTCTCTAACTAAGGTGATAAAAAGATGGTTGGATACAGGGAACATAAACATTTGCTGAACAATGAGCCTGGAGGTTCGATGGTGGGAAGCATTTGACTCATACGGCATAGAAGAGCTAATGAAAGTAAACTAATGCTATAATTTAGGAGTTAAAATGGACATCTGATCACAGATCGTGTGTTAAATCTTACTGCTTGTCGACAGCCTGCTTTTGGCCTGTTGCACGGGTCCCACTCTAGCTGCCCGATCCTGGCTTTTTGCTAGGGATTCTCCGGGGTTTTCCGTGTCTGATTGAAAACGCCTCCTCCGTCTGGCAATTCGGCTGTTTTCAGGTTTCCTTCGTTGTAGCTGGCGAGACCACGTGGCTTTGTCTGACCTCGGTGAAGTTGGCTCAACGAAAAAGGCTTAAAATGGCACTTGGTCGTTCCTGAATTAGTTCAGTGTAACTTAACGGACTGATAACTTTAACAAACAAAAGAAATAAAGAAAATAAAACAAACTGAAGGCAGATCGATGTCGCGGCACTTCAGGTGTGTAGCTTCAGGCGAACAAAAGGCCGGTCTCGCTGGCCGAGTCTGAGGGCGTTGCCTGGCGAGGCACGCCAAACGCGTGCCGAAGCGTCCAGGGAGCCGAGCAGAGCGGAAGAGAGCCAACAGCGAAGAGAATAGAGCGAGAGGTCGCGTGTCGCTCTTTTGTTGCCTGGGGCATGGTTCCCCAAGGGGCGTCTCAGGTTTCCCAAGGGACTGCCTTTCTAAACTTAATGTCTAAAAAGAAATCTATTTGCACATCTTATAATCAAATATTTTCCATAATCGAACCTCAATGGTTGAACGGTTGTACTGGTCTAGGCATTTGGTAACAGGAAACAATTGTCACATTATTGGTCAGGATATTTATACATTTAACGGCATTTCCGACGAGGGCATGTAATACTTATTTCGTCCACTTGGGGGAACTCAGGTTACATGAGATGTAGGAGTGTCTTGCTGAAAATAAAAACACTGCACAAGTAACTTTCTTTTCAGCACTAATATCAACAACGGATAGCAACAACAGTTAACATTACTACTCAAATAGAGGCAAACGTAATCAGGTAACTAAAGATTTAATTAAACTTAATTAAATGCTTTGAGTCTTTGGAGACTGCAGTCCTTAGCCATTTAAAGTTCGGCTGTCCTGGATTGTGTCACACCTAGGTGAGACAAGGAGTATCCCTTTGATGTGGGAATAAAACAAAGAATAAGGTCAGTTGCCACGGAAACATGTGTGGGGGGCCAGTTTTGATAGGCTGTTCAGGGAGATGCCAATGGCTGGTTCGTGTCCCTTTGTCAGTTTAACAGTCAGGCCCCGCGTTATCAGCTTCGGAATCAAAAAGGTGCCAGTTTTATGGTCGGGATAGCACTTAGAGAAAGCAACTTTGACCCCTCCCCTTCTTCTCTGGGGAGGAGAAAGGAATTTAGAGTAGCTCCAAATTTATTCAATATAAAATGCACAAATCCACACCGTTGTTCACTGCATATCTTTAATATCTTCCTGGATAGAAGCTCCAGGTGCTAACAATTAGCTTGCCAGCTACAGTAGCTCATCAACTAGCTAACTGTGACTAGTCACTACGTCACCAAAATTCCATCGATTTTGCAGGTCATGTCACAGTGTAGTGTAATCGCAGCTTTAATCAGGGTTTCAAATGAAGAGCCAGTTGTGTCCTAATTGGGTAATTGGGGCAACAGGTGGAATGTAATTCATTCTTTCAGAGATCACTAATCCTCAGTTCAGTACTCAAAGCACTGTAATCATTTCTCCAAAGTCAATGAAAACTGCTCAGAAATACAATCAGAGAAATGAGGAAAAACTGACACCACCTTTGGTGTATTATCATCTTGTTTGCCATGTAACCCCCTGGGTTGTCTTTGTTGTTTTTTCTGGGATATTTTCATTACTTTCCCTGTTATTATGAAGTTATTTGAGATCGCAATAGTGTTATTTAATTATTTATAGCTATGTCAAGTGTGTATTGTGGTGTACGTGACACCACTAAATGCACCACTAAAAGTTTGTTTGTAAGGGACATTGTAATGACAAGTGCAAATACAAAGCAGCTGCTGTTATTCTGGCTCCACAAAATGCCGCTTGATAAATACACGTTTCTTAACGACTGATTGAACAGATGTCTCCTTTTAATGAAACATTTATTTCAATGCTGATTGTTTTTATTTGAGTCAATCACTGTGCCTGAAGTAATTTTTAGATGTTTTAGAGGCATAAGGAATTATAACTATCCAGGAATTCACTAAATAAATAAAAAAGATTAAAATGTTTTCAAACTTCAACAAAATTATTTTGTGAAGCAGAAATCAGTTTTTCAGTTGTCCTTTCTTGTTAACCATCTCACAACCTCTCAGATTTATAAAAATGAAAACTAGATAAATCTGGTAACCACTTTATTACAGTGAAAATCAAATTTTGACCTCAAGAAATTGAAAACAAATTTATTCATAAAATTCCCCAAAGATTCCCACCCTAGATTGGAAGATTGAAATATGTAGCTTTGGTGTTCTTGTACATGGATACAAACACACACAGAGACACACACACAGACACACACAAATAAGTTCCTCTTGTGTATTTCCTGCCTCTTGTTCCCATAGAGACAAACAGCATTAAGGATGGACATACATATAAGCACAAGTGCACTTTAACAGTAACAGTAGCAACCTTTGTGACCTCATAAAAAAACGTACGTGTGCACACACACACACTAAAATATTCATAGACCTGTAGATTTCCTGGATTGTGTAAATCATACAGAACGTACCCTGTGGAAAAATTCTCTTTATTGTAGTCACTGAAATAGTTGCTTTTATGGTTGTGCAACAGACACAACGTCACATTTCATCCTGCAACAATCCCAAACACAACTCTGCAGGTCAACTGTTCCCACCTAAATAAACTGTGTTTGCGTGCACTCACACATTCACACAAACACATCTGTCAAGACAACATACACACAATACCAAACTTGGAGCACTACTAACTTGAATGCTGTAATAATTAATGCTCTCTGTCATCAGAGAGGGCTCTGCACAAGATCACAATTTGTGTGTGTTGCCAGTTCAAAGCCCACAGAGCACAGAAAGCCTTGAGACATTTTTGAAAGTCTCTGCCTCTCTCACACACATTATGTCATCTAAAAAGCTACAGAACATATTTTTCATAGCTGTTTGCGTATTACTCTCCTCTTCTTATTTCAGATTAACTTCTTCATATTCATCCGAATTATCAAAATCCTGATGTCTAAACTTAGAGCGCATCAGATGAGATACACCGACTACAAGTTCAGGTGAGAGAATTGTTCTAAAAACATTGAAGGGTGTACCCAGGATATTTACTGGTCAGGTGGCGTACGGTGTGCTTTAAATGTTTTTTGACTGATGAGAGTCAAACCAAAAGATCTGAGAGGGACTGAAGAGTGAGGTGATAATTTTCTGTATGTTTCACATACATGTGATCCATTGTTACAAGTGTAATTTATTTCTCTGTTGACGATTAAATCTTACCTGATGAAGGTTGATAGTGTAAACTAAGTAAAATGATTAGTGGCTGTCTTGTAATATAAACCTTAAAATTTTTCCCTGTTTCCCCTTTCCTCCTCTGGTCCAGATTAGCAAAGTCCACTCTGACTCTCATCCCCCTGCTTGGGATTCACGCCATCCTCTTTACATTCGTCATTGACGAGTCCGTCCCGAAAGGCTCCATGCTGCGCCTCATTCGCCTCTTCTGTGACCTACTGTTCAACTCTTTCCAGGTCAGAGCAGGCATACAAGACCATTTAAAAGACTGTTGTTTCTTTAAATGTATCTGTACTCTCAGATTTTAGGGCACTGAGCATTTCATTTTGGTTAATCTATAACAAATACTGTACATTGAAGGAAGCGCCTTACAGTGTTTAAATGTCTTTTATCCATTTCAAATTCTTCTACAGTAAAATCTTTCAAAGTTGCTGTTTACATTCAGTGTTACTCACCAAAATGCAGTGTGGATCCTTCAACTCCCTTCCTTATAAAACATATGCAAAGCCGATTTTACGAACATTCAACTCATTATAACAGGTTTCAAGGGCACATACTGATGTAAAAGGTAGCACATTACTATTAGTGTAGTTTGTTCTGAAACAACTTTAAAATTAAGACGTCAATTGTATTGAGGGAATATGACACCCAATGCAATGGTATGGCTCTTTCCCATGTGGTAAACAATGTAGTTCTATATTTAGAGTCGGATCCTTTAATATACACAGTAAAATAACAATTGTTTCTTTTCCAGTATCTGACATGACTGAAAATTTAAAGCTCCACCTTCTATTTCAGGGCCTGCTGGTGGCCATCCTGTACTGCTTTGTCAACAAAGAGGTGAGATAAATGTGCTTTGAGGTAGTGCACCACCATAATATAATCTCAGCAATTGCTGCACTTCCATCCTTTTCTTTTTTTAGAGAAGATACATTAGACATTTTTCATCATGAGTGTTCCTTTATCAGTTTTTTTATATCTCTAAAAGCTCCATCTTTGTTCAGGTCCCACTTCATTCCTTTCGTGTACAAAGTGGGATGGACACGCCATCATCCATCAGCTAATCTATAAACTTTTAGATGTAGGATAGCAGATAAAGGAAAGACGCAAATCTTCATGCGTCTTTCCTTTATCTGCTTTCTCTCTCTCTGCTATCCCATCATGCCTCAGGTACAGTCGGAGATGCTAAAAAAATGGAAGCGGTGGAAGCTGGGTAAGGACATTGATGAGGAGTACCGCCACACCCACAGCCACACGCCGCACATCAAGAGCGGCAGTGTCGCCACTGGCAATCTGCCCTTTCTCCATGACAACACCGCCAGTGACCACAGTGGTGACTCACCTCACTTTAACAAAGCTGACAGAGGCCCCTCCCGCTCGGCCGCATCCGAGGAGAACCGCCGACTAGTCGTCTCCTACAGCAACGGGATGGGGAAAGGCAGGTCCTCCAAGAGCAGACACACCCTGCAGTTCTCTTTCCTGCCACACAGAGGCACCGCAAGTCACGGCAGCTCTGCCACAGAGGACGTGTGTCTGGAGGAGACGGCGCAGTGCCACACATACCCTCTGGAAATAGGAGAGACTAGTGTCTGAGGACAACCTGCTCTGAGCCCTCGTCACGAAAACTTTCACTGACTGTGCTTATCATTGTTTCAGATCAGTGTTTGTCATGTGCCAACAAGACAACCTGAGTGGGAAGAGAATGAGGGAGTATAGCATTACAGAAAATACGGTTTAAACCTGCCCAGCTGCAAATGAATATTTATTGGTTTTGGGACCTTGAGCCTAAAAGCCTGTATTAACTTCAGACATCAGGAATGATTAAAAACATTTAAATGAAACGCTAGTGATGTTTTGTGTGTGTGTGTGTGTGTGTTTGTGTGTGCATTTCCACTGCGACACAACCCCTCTCACATTTTTCCATCTGTACTGCTGTTGCCGTCGTGAGTCATGTTTGTAGTCTGTTAGTCTGTTTGCAGTAGTGGATGCTCATTTGTGGTACTCTCCTACAAAAACCTCTGTGACAATGCTTGTTTGTTTTTTTTGCTGTTTCTCTACTGGTTAAATTAAACTAAATGTGGACTTCAACATGCATGATTCTTGACGTCTTGTTCATGGAACAATAAAGGCAGAACTGAGAAATTCACCGGAGCCTCACAGAGGATGGATTCTCTGATCTACAGAAAGACTGTGCTAATACTAATGCTTAAGTTATTCTGGTTGTAAATGACCAAAGAAAATCATAATATAACCTAATGGGGT